AGCCATGCATGGTGGTGCATGCCTGCAACCCCTGCATTTGAGAGAGTTGAGAGGCAGGAGGGAGCAGTTCACGTCATCCTCAGACACACAGCAAGTTTGAGGTCAGCCTTTGCTACATGAGATACTGTGTCAAAAGACAGAAACAAGACCACACATCAGGAAGATGGCTCAGTAGGCAAAGGCATTTGCTGCCAAACCTGGTAACTAAGTTCCATCTCTGGAACTCAAACAGTGGAACAAAAGAACCCACTCCCACATCTTGTCCACCCTTGGCACACTGTGACTTGTGTGCTAATACACACACACACACCAACAACAACACAACCAAACACTACAGTGGCTTTTTCACAGAACCCAGGCCTTCCTTGAGACTATACAGTTCTGTTTTTAAGCTGACATCCTTGGATAGCTACCAATGGAAATTATCCCTTACATGTTATACATAATCTTCCTGATCCTTTGGAACGGCCTGAAGTCAAAATATCTTAAAACTTCCAATCTTCAAACCCTACTGAGAAGGGCTGAAACTAGGGCCTATCTAGGGAGAGTCAGGACAGGCAGGCAGTGACAGAAACCAACTGCAGCAAGCAGAGCTGTGGTCAAGGGCATGGACTACAGCTTTCAAATGAGGCAAGCCAAGCAGGCTGAGCTCGGGTCTGCCCTCCAAATTACAGGCTTGATGTAAAACTCCAGAGCAGAGCTACTCAATGTCAAAAGTTCATTTTATTTTAATATCTGATGGTATCAGGTTACACACACCCCTTTCTAACCATGTGGCCTGAATCTTTTTAAATAATCAATGTTTCTGTAGACTGCTGAGTTCACATAAGCAATTTTTATTTTATCTTAATTTTATTTCTAAGAGAAGGTCTCACTGAACAGCCCTAGCTAGGCTCTAACTTGTAGGAACCCTCTTCTAAAGCCCCGGGTGCTGACACGACGTTGAGTACATAACTGTGCCTGTCAAATTCGATGATTTGTAAGAGTTATGCTGGGGTTAGGAAGACGGAAACAAGCTGGGGTAAAAGAGCACTTGTCTAGTAGTGCCACATACACACACAAAGAAAGGAAGCAGGAAGAGGAGAAGAGAAGGAGGAGGAGGAGAAGAGAAGGAGGAAAGAGACATTCTCCTCTCTCTGCTTCCGGAGTAATAGGATTACACTTGTCTGCCACGGCCTGGCTCTAAAGTTAGAACTTGCAGGGGAAGAGATGGCTGAGTGGTTTAAGAGCACATACTGCCCTTGCAGAGGACCCATGTTCAGCTCCAAATATCCATGTTTGGTAGCTCACAACCACCTGTAACTCCAGTTTCAGGGCATCTAATACCCTCTTCTGTCCTCTGTGGGCACTTGCACGCATGTGCACATACCCACACATATAATCAAAAATAAATCTTTTGTTAAATTAGAACTTTAAGCCTGACTTATTTACTGAATATACTTTGTAGGTTTTTTGGTAACTATTAAGTTAAATTGTTTGATGGAGATATTTGCCTTCATAAGCTGGAAGAATGGTTATACGTGATTAGTGCAGGATTCACTACAAACTTCTATTCCAAATTTAGCAGACCTCAAAACAAACAAGGGAAGGGAAAGAATGAGAGTAACATATAATGAGATATGAAGATGCCATCATGAAATTCATTACTTTGTATGCTAACGTAAAAAAAATCAATTCATTGTGGCACACTAAAAATAATTTTAGGGCTGGAGAGATGGTTCAGTTGATAAAGTGTCTGCTGTGCAAGCATGAAAACTGAGTTTGCATTTCCAACCCCAATGTAGAAGCAGGGTGAAGTGGTGCATGTATGGAATCCTAGCTGTAGAGGTGGAGACAGGTGGATCCCTGGAGGTTCAGTGACAGACCCTGTAACAAAGAGTAAAGTGGAGGGAGACGACAAAGACACCTGATACCGATCTCTAGCATCCACATATGTGCACAGACACGTACATGCACCCACTTGAGAACACACACACACACTGTTGGGGAGACAGCTCAGTGAGTAAAGGATGAGCTGAACGAGCAAGCACAGGGACCTGCATTTGGACCCCGAGAACCAGTGTAAAACAAAACAAACAAAAACAAACAAACAAACAAACAAAAAACCAAGCACAGTGGCATACATCTAGTAATTCCAGTGCTGGGGCTGCAGAGAGCCCTGGAACTCACGGGTCAGCCAATTAGCCAAATCAGTGAGCCTCCAGGTTCAGCAAAAGATCCTGCTTCAAAACTAAGGTGTTCCCGGGCGGTGGTGACACACGCCCTTAATCCCAGCACTTGGGAGGCAGAGCCAGGTGGATCTCTGTAAATTCAAGAGGCCAGCCTGGGCTACCAAGTGAGTTCCAGGAAAGGCGCAAAGCTACACAGAGAAAACCTATCTCGAAAAACCAAAAAAAAAAAAAAAAAAATTAAGGTGTTAAGAGATGAAGGAAGATGCTCAAGGTTAACCTCCAACCTCCACAGGCATATACATACATACATACATACACATACACACACACACACACACACACACACACACACACACACACAAAGTACACAGCACCAACAAAGAGGGATAATAATTTAAAATAACCTGAAATGCTGATCTGAGCAAATGTATAGGAGATAATGAACCACAATGAAGATTAAAACAAAATCCTTCCCTTACTTTCTATAATGAATATCACATTAGGCTCAAACATAAATACATTTGTTCATTTGTTTGCTAGTTGTGTTTTCACCCAAAGCACTAATGTCAAGAAGCATGGACCTGGACAGCCTCAATCAACACAAATTCCTTGGACCTATCCAAAACATCAGTAGGTATTTTTGAAGGCAAGACCCAAGATCAAGCACATCAAATTACTTCTGGTGCAAACAGGAGCCTGAAACTTTATTCGGGTATATATATGAACGCCTTTGAACAAAGCACTGAAGTGGGGCTTGAGAGATGGCTCAGCAGTTAGGAACACTGGATGATCTTCCGGAAGTCCCGGTTCAATTCCCAGCACCCAGATAGCAGCTTACTATCCAGAACTAGAAAATCCAGTTCTAGAGTATCCAATGCCCTCTTCTGGCACCAGGCATGCACACGGTGCACAGACATATATGCAGGCAAATCACAGAAAAAAAAAAAAAATATATATATATATATATATATTTTCAATTTTTAAGAAAACACTGAAAACTAAAACTCTCCGAGACACTATCTTTAACTATTGAGCAATGGGATATTGTGAATCTGGCAGCTTGTTTCAGTTTAATTATCAAATTACCAAATGAATAAACTGGAAAATCCCCTTCTTTCCAAAGAAACTAACTGGAAGATCTTCATGGCAAATGAAGAAAACTGGGGTGTGGGCCTTACACAGGACGACTAGACTGCAGCAAACCATGTGTGAATAAACGAAGGGTTCTTTTAACCACCAGCAGTAAATCAACATTCTTTTGTCTTAGTTTGCTTTCACCTTTAAAACCAGCACCTGCTGTCTTACAAGACGATTTGAAACACCTTACATACTGAGGTCTATTTGAAGATTTGGAGCTGCTAAGTTAAAATTGTCGAGAGGCACATTTCATTTTTTAAAAATGAAAAATCAGTCCTACAAATGACAAAACTGAAAACTTGTCTTTCTGTATCTCAGTCTTAGAAGGCATATAATGTATGTCTTTAGCTTTCCTTCTCCTTACTTAGCTCTGGTTGACCTATGTAGATGAGACTGGACTGGAACTAACAGGGATCTGCTTGCCACTACCTCCTCAATGCCGGGATTAAAGACATACACCACCACGACCCAGCCTTATTTTCTCTTCCTTGGTTCTATTTGGACAAACACAATCCTCCTCAAACTTTAATGTGCACTGTGATCACCTAAGGAATCTTGTTAGAAAAGCAAGTTCAAGCTCAGTGGGTGCAATGGGGTCTGGGAATCTGAGATGTCCAACCAGCTTCCAGATGAGGACTACGCCGCTGTCAGGCAAGCAGTCTTAGGAGCATGCAGCATGTGATACATCTGTATTTGGGCAGATGTCGGAATGGTTCTCTTCTTTCAGCCAAGGATCACCACTTAATTCATAGAAGTACTTAGCTCTCACGTGCTAACAGCTGCAGCGGGTACTTACATATTCAGTCTAAGTCCTTATGAGTTAAGTGGGGTTGAAAAGCAACCACCACCATCAAACACTGAGATCCGATCTGGCTTCTCCTTGCGATAACTAACTGTAACTCTGGGAATTGAGTTAGCTCCTCCAAGCCTCAGTTTCTTCACATAACAGTCTTGAGCGGGCTTCAGGGTGAAAGAAAATAAGAACGCAAGACAGAAAATTTTCAGGCAATCAAGCAAGCACAGAACAACTGGCCCGAGTGGGGCCTTCTACTGCAAGCGCTGGGGAGATAGTATCACGAAAAGAGCCGCTAAGTGCGCAAATGCCCACCACCTGTGGCCACGGGTTTCTCTTGAATGAAGGCCTGCGCGCTGAGACTCCCAAGTGTGCGGGATTTACAGAAAGAACGCCGAGAGCTGAAGCAAAAGCAAAGAAGGCAGACGACACCCACTACCCGTAAGGCAGGCTGGCTGGTCAAAGTCGGAGGCGGGGAGAAGAGCAAGCGTCTGGAGGCTGCAGAAACGTCCCGCGGGACTGCTGGCAGGAGGCGAGCGCAGCGGCGGGCCCGCGGTACGGCGGCCGCCTCCCGGCCCCAGCTTGCCCCCGGCTCACGTACCCTCCAGAGCTCCGGGCGTCCGGAGCCAGCCGCAGCATCAGAGCCGCACCCACGACGGCACACGACCGGCGGCGCGGTGAGCCCGAGCCGCGGCCTGACTCAAAGCACCACAGGCTTGGGTCGCTGGCGGAGGAGGATCTGCAGGATCCGCGGTGACCCTGTCACCTCTGCTGGCTTTATCGTCCCATTGGCTGAGAATGAGTCCAACGTGAGGAAGGCCACCCAATCAGCGAAGGGATATCTTCAAACTAACTCTCTCATTGGTGAACTAGCCGGGACCAATGAGAACTCAGAACACTGAATTGGACCCAAGGGCTCGCCGTCCAGAGAGTACTACATAAATTTGAGTCCATCACTGTTTCGCGACTACAATTCCCAGAGTTCCCGCGGCAGGGCTCCTGCTTTTGTGTTCAGAAATTCAAACCGAGTATTCCGTCTACTGCAAGTCTTCCAGGTCTAATAAAACAACCTCGTAATCCTTCATCCGCGTCTGTAAGTCTTTACTCAGAATCTTCAGACGTTTCCTTGTAGTTTTTAACTATAAACGTCGGCACTCTGGCGTCCCTGGATTTCGTTCATTTCTTGTTAGTGCCGCTTTCTAGCAAAGCAAAGGGCGCCAAGAGCAAGGGTTGGCTGAGGTGACTTGACGTCGGAACGAGTTTGTCTTCTTTCTTGTGAATGATTTCTGTCAGTTTTTCAAGTTCGTCGTGAAGTTTTGAATACTGCTTTCTATTTATCAAAGTAAAGACATACTTGTTTTATCGATAGTAGTCCATAGAGGTTGCTTTAGATATGTGTTTTAGACTCCAAAGTATTTCCCAAATTGTAATCCAAATCCCGCAGGCCAATCTGAAAATAATGCATCCATCACACTCATTGTGGATTTTCTTTTGTACTGTCTGATTCTGACGTGTAGTTCATATATTAAAGTTACAGGGGTTGGTTGTTGTTTTTTGTTACAAGGAATTTGAAGGGGCTTTAATTTGGAAAGAGTGTGGAAGAGTACCAGACTGTACTCTAAGCTCTTATCTCCAATAGTTTGTTAGTGAATTTATAAACCAGACGGCCAAGGTGGCGCAGGCCTGTGATCTGAGCACTAAGTCGGCTAAGGCTGAAGGGGGTTCATTCCAAAAGTTCAAGGCCAGTTTAGGCTAACTAGAGCTTCACAGAGACCTTGACTTTAAAAACAAAACAACAAAAGAACTCATCTAGTCTTGTTTCTTTGTGTTCCCTTGTTCCTGGCGATATATCGTACTATAATAAACCTAAAATGAGAACAGGAGCAAAGTAATGCTCAGTAGAAAACGATGACAGGTCTCTAATACTATCTGGCCTAGGGCAAAAACAAGTCTGCGGCCGGGCGGTGGTGGCGCACGCCTTTAATCCCAGCACTCGGGAGGCAGAGCCAGGCGGATCTCTGTGAGTTCGAGGCCAGCCTGGGCTACCAAGTGAGTTCCAGGAAAAGGCACAAAGCTACACAGAGAAACCCTGTCTCGAAAAACAAAAAAAAAAAAACAAGTCTGCTGTGCCACGAGGGGAATGGTAGTAAGAGAACATTGAGCCTGAATTAAAACTGTGGGTGTAGAAAACGGAGAAGAAAAGAAGGAAAGGAAAAAAAGTAAATATACTAAGTCCAAAGGGCATAGCCAGTTAAACATAACCTATCTGGTTGAGTAAATAAAAAAATGTCTAATATTCTAATAAAAGATTCAGTTATCCAGAAATATAAATTTACTATTTTTGCTAAGGTTAATTTGCCTATTAGGAAAAGATATATAACTTATTCTCTGATTAGTAATTAATGACAGGGTTTTGACACTGTTGGGAAAATATGTTTCACAAAGTCTTTATCTATTGGAAGTTCACCATCTGAAATTGAATGTATTCATATTTCTGCCATTAAAGCTCTGGGGAGGCTAGACTTTCTACAAACTGCCATTACTAAGGAAAGATGGCCAGAACTAAAAAGCAAAGGATGCCTTAAATTTAATTGGTGCTTCCTAAACTCCAGTGGACTGATTACAAGCCTCAGAAAAGTCTTTAAGTTTTTATGAATTCTCATTCCTGATTTATAAGTGTCTGAACTTGACACCTATGAAGTTGTGCTACCTACCATTATGAGTCATTGCTTGAGTCTTAGATATCTTGCCACAGGACAGACTGGAATGTAGAGTTTCTCAATCACTGTGTTGCTTAAGAGACTATTCAAACCCTGTCAGTTTTATTTAACAATCGTCTTTTGAATACACACATTGTGCCAGAGACAGTCTTAGCTATGGGTCAAAGAGAAGGAAAATCAGCCCTTCAAAGAGCTAAGAGTTTGGGAGCTCAAACAGCAGTGGCTTCTAGTGTTTTCAGATCAGACGATGCTTTTTCATTTTTGAAATTTCTGATCTTGTTTTTCATTTTCTTACAGGTATATATTATATGTTGGGAATAGTACCCTCCCACCCATTTCTACCTTCATTTTAATTACCCTTCCCATTGTCCCCCTTTGTCCCCAAGACAGCTGCACCTCTACTTTCATGACGTGTATCATTCATGATTTTATGAGATTATGTAAGACCTAGGAAGCACAAACAAGAGAAAATATATTCATCTTTCTGAGACTGGCTTAATTCATTTAATATGATCGTTTCCAGTTATGTGTATTTTCCTACAAAAAAATATAACTTCAATCTTTGTGGCTGAAAAGACTCCATTGTGTTACATACCACATTTTCTTTATCCAGCTGGCTTGGTTCCATCATTTAGCAATTATGGATAGTGCTGTAGTAAATATTAATGTGCAAATGTCTCATATGTTGTCTTGGTGTCCTTCAGATAAATACACAGGAGTGGCGTAGATTGATTTATAGTTTATTGGGAAACTTCCATACAGAGTTCCACAGATGCCAGACTAGTTTATATTGCCAACGGCAGCAGAGAAGGTTCGCTTTCATCCAGATGCTTACCAAGGTTAGTTTTCTAACATCCTGACTGGAGTACAGTGGAATCTCAAATGTGGTTTGATTTGCATTTCTCACATGTTGTTGCTCAGGTTACCTGTATTTCATTTTGTAGACTGCTCATTTCCATTAGCCCATTTGGTAATTGTGGGTTATTTTTCAGTTTTGGTTCTTTTTATAGTCTGGATATTATTCCTCTGTCAGATGTATAGCTGGCAAAGATGTTCTCCCATTCTGTAGGCTCTTTTTACTCTATTAAGCATTTCCTTTTCATTATAGGAGCCTTTCAGTTTCATGAGGTCCCATTTGTCTGCGATTGGACTTATTTCCTGAGCAACTGTGATCCTATTCAGAAAGTTCTTGCCTGTGCTTATGTCTTGAAGTCTTTTCCTTTTCTTCTAACAGTCTCAAAGTCACAGTTCTATGGAGTCTTTTGTGCTTCCAAATAAATTATAAATTATTTTTCTATTTCTGTGACAAATAGCTTTGTGTGTGTGTGTGGTGTGTGTGTGTGTGTGTGTGTGTGTGTGTGTGTGTGTGTGTGTGTGTGTGTGTGGTATGTGGCATTGGCATGCCATGGTATACATGTGGAGGTCAGAGGACAATTTTGTAGAGTCAGTTCCAGCCTTCCACCTTGATATAAGTTGCAGGCGTCAAGTATATAGTCTTCACGGCAAGCACGTTTTCCCCACTGAGCCTTCTCTACTGGCCTGCTTTGCAATTTTGATGGGGGTTATTACATTGAATTTGTAGGTTGCTTTTTGTAAAATAGCCGTTTCACAATGTTAATTTTTCCAATCCATAAGCATGGTGATGGATGGGTCTTTCTGTCTTCTTCAATTTCTTTTTTGAGTATTTTAAAGTTTAATTTTTTTTCAATCTATAGGCTTGGTTTTTTGCTTCCTTAGATTTATTTCAAAGTGATTTTTTGTTTATTTGCTTGCCTTTTGAAGCTTCCCTGATTTATTTCTCAGCATGTCAAACAACTTTTGAGTTTCCTAGCACTTGATAAGTTGAGTCAAGAGGACCAGAAGTTCAAGGCTATCCTTGGCTATGTGGTAGGTTAGAGGTCAACATGGGGTACAGTAGATCCTGTCTCCACAAAAGGGAAAAAAATGAGCACATAGCTCTGAAATATATATTTATTCATAAATTCTAATCATACATTCTACATATTATCAAATACATATATTTAAAAGCATATAAATTATAGATTGTTAAATTATGAAAAAAGGCTAAATAGAAGCTCCAAAATGGCCATCTAGATGAAAATAAATTTGAATATATACATCCTTTTCCAAAAAAAATTCTAGGTGAATTAAAACTCAGATCATAAAGATGAAAATCTTTATTTTCATCAAATAACATTGAGGTGGCTCGGGCTAGCTTCAAACTTGCGATCCTCCTGCCACAGCCTCCCAAGTGCTGAGATTATAGGCATGTTCCACCACACCTGGCCCTTAAGGACTACAACATACAACCTAGATATGCAGTGCAAGGATAGGGTAACAAAACGGGAAGCAAAACAGAACAAAAAAACCTTTTGCATTTGGGAGGGAGAGGCAAGTGGATTTCTAAGTTCGTGGCCAGCCTGGTCTACAGAACAACTTTCAGTACAGCCAGGGCTACACAGAGAAACCTTGTCTCGAAAAAATAACTACAGCCGGGCGGTGGTGGTGCACGCCTTTAATCCCAGCACTCGGGAGGCAGAGCCAGGCGGATCTCTGTGAGTTCGAGGCCAGCCTGGGCTACCAAGTGAGTTCCAGGAGAGGCACAAAGCTACACAGAGAAACCCTGTCTCGAAAAACCAAAAAAAAAAAAAAAAGAAAAAATAACTACAAAGACAAATATTTTTGCTGGGCCAGAGACAAAAATATTGGGAGACATCCTTGACTATTATATTAGTGCGTTTTAGGCCAGCCTGGGCTAAATAAGACTATGTCTCAAAAGAACCAACAACTGGACCAGCAAGATAGCTCAGCAGATAAAGGCACTTGCCCACTGATAATGCAAGCCTGTGCTGAATTTGATCCCTGGAATGTGTATTAGTTACTTTTCTGTTGCTGTGATAAAATTCCATGACAAGAAGAAACTTAGAGGAGAATAGGGTTTATTTTAGTTTAAGTCACAGAGGGGTACAGTCAATCAAGTTAGGTTAGACATGGCAGCAAGAGCCTTCAACCCACCTGGCAGTCAGGAGGCAGAGAGAGCAGATTCTGTCTACTCAGTGTTTTAATTAGGGTTTCTATTGCTGCGATAAAACACCAGGACAAAACGTGATTTGGGGAGGAAAATGTTTATTTCAGCTTACAATTCTTCACCACAGTTCACCACCAAAGGAACTAAAGGCAAGAACCTCAAGACAGGAACTGAATCAGAGGCCATGGAGGAACACTGCTTACTGGCTTGCTCATCATGGCTTACTGGCTTGCTTAACCTACTTTCTTACACACCCCAGGACCACCTCCCCCGATGAAGCACCAACCATGATGGGGTAGGCCCTCCTACATCAATCATTAATCAAGAAAATGCCTAACAGACTTGCTACTGATCAATTTTATGGAGGCATTTTCTCAGTTGAGAGCCCTTCTTCCCAAGTGACTCTAGCTTATGTCAAGTTTACAAAAAAAAAACAAAAACAAAAAACACCCAACCAGGACAATAAACCCCTTTTAAAAGTTGTAATGTTTTACATTGTGATATTGATACATAATAGTCTTAAAATTTTCCCTTTAAAAATCACATGTTCAAAATCTCTCTAAAAATCCAAACTCTCTAAAACTCCAAATGGTTTCTCTGAAAAATCCAAGTTTCACAACTATGGGTTCCTGTAAAATCAAAATAAGTTAAATACTTCCATATTCCAAGAGAGAGAACAGACCCAAACATTCTGCCCGAGGCCAACCCAGGGCCCAGCTGCGATCCTGCGAAGCCCAACAACTTGGAGGCACTGGTGAGATTGCCCTACCTGTTAGCTGAGATCCATTCGGGAGAGGTTTCAGAAGCCTGCAGCCTGCAGTCTGAGGGAACAAGATCAGCTGAGGAGTTGGCGAGTGAGCAAAACGCGACCCAAGAACGCAAGAGAAGGAGCCATCCAGCCACCAAACCAGATCACCCGAGTTATAAGCCTCCACCGACTGGGAACAAGTAAGGCCCCATCTCTGGACCAGCAGACCAGGTCTCTAGCCCCTAGGGCCCAGCCATCAGAGCCCCAGGGACCAGGCAGCTACCTTTCCTTGCTCCCTTACCATATTCCAAGAGAGAATGACAAGGGGACAGTCAGAATCAAATCTAAGCAGAACCAAAGTTCAACAATGTAAACTCAGTCAGGCTTCTGGAACCCGCTGAGAATCCCTCTGGGCTCCACAGGGCTGAGGCAGTTCCACTTCTCCAGGTCTGCTACACACACAGTCCACACAGATTATCTCATAGGTCCAGGCCAGCTCCACGCTACAGCTGCTGCTCTCCTAGGTGGTCATCTCATTATGCTGACTTCTGGGTCTGTATTGCAACTGGGATGCACATTTTCCAGTAGCTTCTCCTGGGCTCTCTTCAGGGACTCTGACCCTGCCTCATAGTGCCACAGTTCAACTCTTCTCCATTACCCTTTCAACACAGAGGCTTTTACTGCAACTGAGGCTGCACCTTCACTAATGGCCTCTCCTAAACTCTCTCCAGGGATGCCAGACCTGTTACACAGTGACAAGCCTCATCCTCTCTCCATGACTCCTTCAAGTGTTGTGAAATATAATTTTAAGGTGTGTTACTTTTGTTTATGCTGCATTTGTTTAATTCTGTGAAGCTGTGTTACTTTGCCTGTCTAAAACACCTGATGGTCTAATAAAAAGCTGACCAGCCAATAGCAAGGCAGGAGAGAGAATATATAGAAGGAGAAACCTGGGAGGAAGAAAGAAGAAAGAGCAAGAGAACAAGGAGAGGAGGACTTCGGGGGCCAGCCAGACACAGAGTAAGAAGGAAAGAAAAGGTATACAGAAATAGAGAAATGTAAAAGCCCAGAGGCAAAAACGTAGACAGGATAATAAATGTTAAAAGCTGGACAGCAACAAGCCAAGCTAAAGCTGAGCATTTATAATAATAAGCCACCATGTGTGATTTATTTGGGAGCTGGGTGGTGGGCCCCCAAAGAGTCAAAAAAGTAAAAAAGCTAAGCACAAAAACACACAACATACAAGAGTCACTTGGGTGACTCTTACACATTACCAAGTTTCCTACCAGCATGAGATTCAACTCTGATCCCCTCTGTACCACAACTTCTGTGTGCTTGCCCTCAGGAAGTTTTTGGCACAATGATGCTGTCTATCTCCCTGTCTCTGTTCTCTTTCTCTCTTCTTCCTCTCTCTTCTCTCTCTCTCTCTCTCTCTCTCTCTCTCTCTCTCTCTCTCTCTCTCTCTCTCTCTCACTCTCATTGTTTCCCAAAATATTGTGTACCTTAATAAACTTATCTGGGGTCAGAAAACAGAAAAGCCACTAGTTAGGCAGTGATAGCACACGCCTTTAATCCTAGCATTCCAGAGGCAGAAATCCATGAGTTCAAGGATATAGACAGGCATGGTGACTCATCATGCCTTTAATCCCAGGGAGTGGTGGTAGAAAGCAGAAAGGTATATAAGGCGTGAGGACCAGAAACTAGCAGCATTT